AAAAAAAAAAAAAAAAAAAAAAAAACCAGGGCTAATGTACCAAAGTTCCTAAGCTTGTGCTTAGACCTCTCAGAGTCCTGGATTCCATCCCAAGCCTCAAAAATGTTTTGAGTGAATGAATGAGTAAATGAACGAACAAATTAATGAAAATAAAATAGGAATCTATCCAGAAAGATAAGCCCATAGATGGCCATTTCCAGAATAATCTAAAATTTCTTTTTTTTATATTATCTTTAAAGTTAGCAGTGGGTTCTAAAAATAATTTCTCATGGAGAACTTCCCAGAGTGTATATTCTGTGGCTTGACAGTTTCTGTAATTAGAATAACTTTAGTTTTTGTTTTTCTGAAATAATTTGTGAGTAATTTAGAAAAATTCAAATTTTTTTGAATTTTAGAGTTACGGGATATCAGTTGGAGTAAGTCAGTCCTAGGTGTGCGTTTGTACCCAGATGAGCAGCCAGCCTTTACAGTAGCCAGTGCTGCCAATTTTTCGATCTAAAGACCCTGTGAAAATCTGATTTAAGATGTATATACCTGTTCCAGAATAATTAATATGTGCTCCTATACCCAAAATTATACATGAAATTCCAGAGGCTAACAGAGCCCCTAAATCCCAGACCATAATGAATCCCAAGTTAAGAACTATGCAAGTTTCCTCCTCAATTTTGATTATTGGCTAACAACTTCACAAATGGGTAATTTAGGGGCTGGAAGCATAGTTCAGATAGAGCACTAACCAGTGAGCAAAAGCATCAGATACCGAGTTTGAGTCCCAGTCTTGGACAAAAAAAAGTGAGGGGGTAGGATAATTTGATGTTACACTTATTAAAATATTAGTGATCTTAGTTGGGTGCCAGTGGTTCATTCTTCTAATTACTCATGAGACTGAGATCTGGAAATCACAATGCAAGGCCAATACTAGTCAGAAAAGTTTACCAGACTCCATTTTCCAAACAACCAGCAAAAGCTGAGCTACAGACATGACTCAACTGGTTGGGCACTAGCCTAGCAAGTGGGAAACTCTTGAGTTCCGGCAAATCCCAGAAAAATAGTGATCTTCCAATAGAGTTTTCATTTGTTTTTGTTTTGTTTTATTCTGGTCGTAGGGCTTAAACTCGGGGCCTGGGTGTTTTCCCTGAGCTTTTTCCAGTCATGGCCCACACTCCGCCACAGCTTTACTTCTGGCTCTTTGGTGGTTCATTGGAAATAAGAGTGTTATAGAATTTCCTGCCTGGTCTAGCGTTGAACTTTGATACTCAAATCTCAGTCTCCTGGACAGCTAGAATTACAGGCCTGAGCCACCAAGGCCCAGCTTCATTTTTCTTAGTAAAAACTTTCTCAAGTATACTCCTATAACCTTAATAAACTTTCTTACTTTGTGTTTATGGTACAGATCTCTAAAACTTTTCAGTTTCTCATTATGGTGTGTGTGTGTGTGTGTGTGTGTGTGTGTGTGTGTGTGTGTGTGTACCGCTCCTGGGGTCTGAAAGCCAAGTTCAAGCCAGCACGCCACAGCCTCCAGGCTGAGGGCCTTCATGCTTAAGGTCTTGACCCCTGTGAACTTCAAGTTTCTCCTGGGTGAAGTGGGGGGAAATGATCATACCCACCTCGAGGGTAGCTGAGGATTAGATGAGGGAAAGCAAACAGCTGTACCCAGCAGATTGAGAGCTTTCCAAAGGATGGTTAGGTCAGGTCCACGTGGTCGGGTGTTGGCTGATGCCTTTTATGTGACAGGCAGAAAAAGCATTTATGATGTAGATAAATTTGCCCAAAGAAAAAAAAGGCCCTTAAAAAGCCTGTCCAATTGAGGGTGTAGATTTACCCCATTGATTGAAGGATCCCTTTTGATTGACTTAACAATCTTTTCTTCTAGTAATGCAGTTCAAAATGTAAAATAACTTACAAATTCTTTTATTCTCATTAGCAGTGTGGGCAGCAAACAGTCTGATCCCTACCACCCCTTTCTCTGTGTCTCAATCCCAACCTTGGAACATGGAGTGAGTCCAGCCAGAGAGATCCTAAACCTACAGGATTAGCAGAATCAATTTGCTCTCTGCCTGTAATTCCATAAATCTTCCTCTCTTTTCAGTCTCATCAGCTGTCTTTAGCGGTAAGACTAGAAATTTTAGGATTGTTTACTTGGGGGGAGGATGATTAATTCATCCTTTGTACATCCAAATCTGTTTCAATTATGGATCTCATGAAAATGATGATCCAAGATGATAGCATAATAGACTGTATTATTTCAAAATTATGTGCCAGGAGCTAGGCTTTGGTGGATCCAGTCTTTAATCCTAGCTACTCAGGAAATATGAAGGAAATATGAGGATCAAGCCTCAAAGCCAGCCAGGGAAGGAAAGCTTGTGATACACTTATCTCCACTAAACTGTCCAAAAAAACCCAAACAAACCCCAAAACAACAAGCAAAACAAACAAACAAGACCAGAAGTAGAACTGTGGCTGAAGTGGGAGAGTTAGCCTTGACCAAAAAAGCTCAGGGACAGTGCCCATGGCTTGAGTTCACACACACACACACACACACACACACACACACACCACATACACACAATTATGTGCTTGTGTCCTCACAGGGCAAGATAGGTATGAATTATTAAGGTAAAAAAAATGTCCAGTCAGGGGACCAAGTGGCAGAAATACTGCATTAAGTTGTCAAAGTCAGACCCTCAGGCTCCTTCCTGACATCTTTTCTGTTCTACCTCTTTTCTCTACCTCATCTCTCTCTTTCCATCATCCAAAACATGCCTGTACTGTGATCTTCATGCTAACTTGACAATAAAAACTTGAATCTGATCTCTTGTCCACTGTCCATCTCCATCATCTTCATCTAGAAGTCAAACTGTGATCATCCTAGATTATTTCAATAATGGTCTAACTAAAGTGGTCCTACTTCCAATCTTACCTCTCATTCTTTCTTCCAATTATTTTTTTTCCACAAGACTTATGGAAGGCCAAATAAAGTCCCATTTCTCCACTCAAACACTAATCTGTTGTCCTCTGGGTAATATCTATCCTCCTTAATGTAGCATCAAGGCCTTTAATGATTTGGATGCTCTGTTTACCTGTCCATTTTCATTTCCTCTCTACTTCTCTATAAATACTCCTTCCTCTCCCCAGCTCCTCCTCCCTCTCCCACTGGTCTTCCTCCACACATAAATGCCAAGTGGCTGAAGCTATAACCCTTCTGCTCCTCGTTTGATTCACATTCTTTCCGTCTAGACTAGACTGCTGCCCAAGCTTGTCCCATTGGTTAGAGTGTTTCTTCCAGTCATTCCACCCTTCTTCTCAACTCCTAAAAATGAGTTTTATTTCAGACAGCTCCTCCCAAGAAACCACCCCTACTTATAAGACACCTGTGTATGCCTCCCAGAGAGGTATCATGATCTTGATTTTAAGTAGGCCTAGCATGGTTCCTGCCATACAGTAGGCATCAATGTACAACTCTCAGAGGAATGACTGCATGAGCACTGATCCTCTGCAGAGGCCAGTGAGCACAGTATAAAGAACATAGATACAACTTGTGTTTAACAAATGCTCAGATACCAATAATGTCTTTGTATTTTGGAGATGGGGTGTGTGCCTAAAAAAAAAAATCCAACTTGTGTTCAGTGAAAGCTTTTACTGCAGAAGTGCAGGCTGTGAGAGGCTGTGCAGTAGCTCTGCCGTCACCATAGCAACCTTGCCGAGGGAAAGGCTGATGGTTTAGTGTTCAGACGTCTCTTAGCTCTGTACTTTTGGAACCCAAGCCTGTTTTTCTGCTGTTCTAAAAGGCAAGTTTTACAAATGATAATATCTCTGCTGCTTTTAATTTCATTCAAGTGTTTCTCATGTCATTAAGAGCAATGTCTTGTAACATCTGGGTTGCATCATCAAAGGGATATAATCCAATACAGTATAATGTGTTCATCTCTCATCTGCGTTACAATATTTTTATGCATAATTTTAATTCTCTAGTTAAATACCTACTGTCTTTTTATTCTAATTGTCTGGCTGTTCTTGAAAAATGAGTGTCTTGCTGGGTTATAGAGTCTATCAACTATTTAAAAGGCTTGAGCCCTTAAAGATAATAATTGACAAACATATCCAGACCCTGCAAGAAACAAGGGAGCCAGGGGATCATTATAGGTTTGGAGGAAAGAAATATCTTTATATAATTATGCCCTACATGTGGGATAAGTTATATGATTCTTTTTACAAAATTGGTAATTCTAGGATTCATATCTTTTCAGATGCCCCAAACTTTCTATTTTCAGAACTCTCTATGTACACATATGTACATATATATATATATATATATATATATATATAATCGTATAGAAGGCTTCTGAAATTTCTATGAGGTCTAAAAGTGGCTAATCCCTGAAGCCAGATGAGCAATAAAGGACAGGATTTTTATTGGCAACCTTCACCCCCCACAACTGGAAACTTCACAAAAAGACAATACAAATGCACTGAGGAAGTCTTTGTACCACACAACCGAAACACATCCTAGTCCTCTACATCCACCCATCCTCACATCTCACCTGCGTATGCTGGAGCTTTCTTGGACTCAGTCAGGGCTGACAAAGCACCATCTCCTAATCCTATCAGCTGTGCGAGCAAGCGCTGCCGTCTCTCTCAGTGACCCGATGTTGGGTGATCTGCACAGCAACAGGGAGCAGCTGACGTGCTTTACAACACGTCACGAAGAAAAGAAACTGCATTCTGGGGCATCCTGGGATTTTTTTTTTTGTGGTGGGGTGGAGACCCATATTTTTCTTACCAGGGAGAGAGCTGCCTGTTTTCACGTAAGAGCATGTGTGAGTGATCATCCCTCCTCTTATTGTATGTGTGTTATTGTTACTATGTGGTTAAGATA